TCTATTGTCCTGCCATTAATCAATTCAGGGTTACCCTTTCTATAGAAGGAAACGGTACTGACGAATTGGACTGAAAGTAGGACAATTAGGATAGTTAAAGAAGATGAGAGAAAAACAAAGGGTGTACGTAATTAACGTCAATTCTTTGGTTAGAACTGCGCTCCGCGTCACCTGTTTCTAACAGCCTTCAAAATTATTATCCCAATTTGGTCTTTCCTTGTCTATATTAATGACCCTGGATGTACACTTCTCCACCGCGCTGCAGACTACTAACCAACCTCTGATTAACCTCCCAATTATGGCCGCCCCTTGTTCCCCCAAATCCATCTTCAATCGTCCGATCATCCCTTCCTCCTCCGCCTCCTCCTCTCCATCACCGTCTCTCCCATCCTTTCTCCGCCCTCCTAATCCCTCCCTCCTCTCCCTCAGACTCACTCGTTTCCATTTTCCAGATATTATTCCCACCGCCTTGAAAACTGTACAGTCACATGACACTCACCCCCACAAACTTGATCATGTTGCTTCGGATTCGGAAACAAAACCCACCATCTTGGTCTCCGAGAAGCTTGGAGATGCCGGTCTAAGCCTCCTACGCACCTTTGGAAATGTTGACTGCTCCTACGATCTCTCCCCAGACCAGCTCTGCGACAAGATCTCCTCCTGTGATGCTTTGATTGTGAGGAGCGGGACAAAAGTGACGAGGCAAGTCTTTGAGGCTGGCAAAGGCCGACTAAAGGTGGTGGGAAGGGCTGGAGTCGGGATTGACAACGTCGATCTGCAAGCAGCAACCGAATTTGGCTGTCTCGTTGTTAATGCTCCGACTGCAAATACTGTTGCAGCCGCGGAACATGGCATTGCATTGCTTGTTGCCATGGCCCGGAATGTTGCTCAGGCCGATGCTTCCGTAAAAGCCGGTACGTAGATGATTTTTGGTCTTAGATCTAATTGGATGCTTCTGGTTTAGTTATTTAATTTAATTTAATTTCAGGAAAATGGCAACGGAACAAGTACGTGGGTGTGTCTCTGGTGGGGAAGACACTAGCGGTGCTGGGTTTCGGAAAAGTTGGATCAGAAGTTGCCCGACGTGCAAAAGGATTGGGTATGCAGGTAATTGCCCACGATCCCTATGCTCCGGTCGACAGAGCCCGTGCTCTTGGCGTAGATTTGGTGTCGTTTGACGCTGCCATCTCCACCGCAGATTTTATCTCTCTACACATGCCGCTTACTCCTGATACTTCAAAGATGTTCAACGACGACACGTTTTCCACGATGAAAAAAGGGGTCCGCATCATAAATGTGGCCAGGGGTGGGGTCATTGATGAAGATGCCTTAGTTAGGGCACTGGACGCCGGAATTGTGGCGCAGGCCGCACTTGATGTGTTCACAAATGAGCCGCCGCCAGAGGGAGACAAGCTGGTGCGGCACGAAAATGTGATCGCCACGCCGCATCTCGGAGCCAGCACCAAGGAGGCACAGGAAGGAGTGGCAATTGAGATTGCGGAGGCGGTTGTTGGAGCACTGAAAGGGGAGCTTTCCGCCACGGCTGTCAATGCTCCCATGGTTGCTCCCGACGTTTTGACAGAGTTAGCTCCCTATGTTGTTCTAGCGGAGAAGTTAGGTAGGATGGCCGTACAGTTGGTGGCCGGTGGGCAAGGCAGCGGCGTGAAATCGGTGAAGGTGGTTTACAGATCTGGTCGAGCGCCGGATGATCTGGACACGAGGCTTTTGCGTGCCATGGTCACAAAAGGCATCATAGAGCCAATATCGGCTTCGTTTGTCAACCTCGTGAATGCAGATTTCACGGCCAAGCAAAAAGGCCTCCGCATCACGGAGGAGAGAGTGACGGTGGACTCATCGCCGGAGTTCCCCATACATTCAATCCAGGTGAAAATATCGAACGTGGGGTCAAAGTTCGCGAGTGCGGTGTCGGAGAACGGAGAGATAAGCGTGGAGGGAAGGGTGAAATACGGCGAACCGCATCTGACGAGCGTGGGGTCGTTTGAGGTGGACGTGAGCCTTGAAGGGAACCTGATCCTGTGCAGGCAAGTTGACCAACCTGGAATGATTGGGCAGGTAGGAAATATTCTTGGAGAGCGTAACATAAACGTGAGCTTCATGAGCGTGGGGAGGACTGTTCGGAGGAAACAGGCCATCATGGCAATTGGGGTAGATGAAGAACCAGACAAGGTGGCGCTGAGGAAGATTGGAGACGTTGCTAATATTGAAGAGTTTGTGTTCCTGAATCTATAGAGAAATGTTGACTTTTTTCAGTGTCCCTTTTGAAAAATAATCAGGATTCAACCGCACATGATCTGCAGTTGTAGCTTCTTTCTTTCTAATAAATCGAAATAAATATATTGAGTTTGTTATGGGTTTGAGTTTGTTCAAAATTTTAAACTGTTGAAAATTAAGTTGGAAAAAAATTTCAGCGCATCTGTAGCTGTCATCGTTATGATATATAAAGAAAATGTGTTTTTCTTAGCAATCTCTTATACATATAATCCAATTTCTATGAAAATACAGATACATAGCATTTGTTTTTGATGTGGAATTATTGGTGAAGAAAGACTCTGACCATTAATTTGTTTGCAAGTTGTGTGAAGTGACACGGGAAATTTGGAAGCAATGTCACGATTCGTGGGGTCTCTTCTATGCAGACACTACAAGAAAGGCAGATTATTAGCAACCAAATATAAGCAATATACATTGACACCTAAGTGATGATGCACAATTATTGACCTGAAACAAAATGGTGAATGGTTAAAATGTAATACTCCGCTGACGAGCATAACTCAGTCAAAACTCGAGCACGACTTTTACA